GCATAATTTCACTTACTCTTCCATGAATCTTCTCCTCCAATCTCTTCAATGTTTTGGAGACACAATCTTTAGTCGCCTACAAAAACATTGTCTATTATAAACATCCTACGTGAGAGTAAACCAAATACAATTAAAGCTGCTAAGAATTTTCGGTATCTACTATCTAGCCAATAAAAGGAATATGACGATGTGATTCTGGAAAGTATAGGAAGGGTAACAACGCCATACATACTTGAACAATAAACTCTCCATCCTGTAGCCTCTGGATACCTCCCACCCTGATAAAATCCGACACATTATCCTAGGGGAAGAAAAATGGGTCAATAACCCATTTAATGAGGTTCACCATCAAATTTTGCATCCTGATTAGAACATATACAGAATGTAACATACAACGCACCTCATTATCGGCAAGGCCATAAAGAGCGAATGCAGCATTGTGTTGCAAGGATCCATTTCTTGAATCAAGAAGCTTCAATAAAGGTCCTAAACCACCACTATGGGCAATACCAGCTTGATTGTGGGAATCCTGTGAGAAAGAGTATGCTAGAAATTAAAAGACATATCGGTTTTGTAATTTAATATCACTCAATTGTAAGTCTAAAGAACGAAGTTACAATTTTTGAACGCTTGAATGGAAATGTCTCAACTCTTAAGACTAAAACTAATAAATGTTTAAAACAAGTACCTGCGCCAATCTACCCAGTGCGAAGGCCGACATTTCCTTCAACTGAACGTCCGGTGACTGAAGCATCTCAATCAAAGGGCGGACAGCACCCCTTTGAACAATGTGTACCTACAAAGTTATATTTTTGAGTATGAAGTGAAGAATGAAAAAAAGATACCTAAAAATTAAGGAAAATGACAGATAGCAGGAATCGGGAACGTATATTCTACAAATCAACAGCAACAAACAACTTATTAACAAACAGAAAGAATTTAGGCTTTGGGAAATGGCAAAGGAACTGAGGATAGAAAACCCGGGACGAAATAGTACCTTACAATCAGAATCAGTTGAGGCAAACTGTCCAAGTAATAAAGCCGCCTCTCTTTGGCTCTCAGGGCAACAAGAGCTGAAATCGACAAATTCAAGAACCACAAGGATGAACCTAGGGTTAACAACAACTCCTCTATGCTAAACCATGAAAATCAAAATGGTGAGTTTCCAAATACCTTAGAAGACCAATGACAGGTTGCAACGCCCCAGCAGAAAGAACCTCTTTTTTAATGTTTGGAGACGAATGTACTAGATTGCCTATAACTCCAACCTAAAAGCATGGCTCAACTGGTTATTTCAATGTCAATCCCATGTACATAGATTAGTAGCAAAACAGTCGAAACTTTCGACCCCAAAAAGATTCCTAACCGCTTCATAATGGATAGCAGCATCCTCTGATCCTAGCATTAGAATGAGCGTGGGAAGAGCATTGCATTCAACTATCTGCAAAAAAAAGTAATCTATCATCCTCCGTCCAAATCTAAATAGAAGCTGTAAGATAGCAATATTTACCTGGTTCTTGTTATCATCATTTTTAAATGCAAGGGTTCTCAATGCCCCTGCTGCTGCTCGCTGAACCTTGGAATCAGAAAATTCAAGCAACTCCACGAGAGGTGGAATACCGCCTTCTAGCCTGCTTGTCAAGAACTGTAAGTCATGAGGATAGTTGTACTGAAGACAAATCTTGATAATCACTTAAATATGCTGACCTAACACGAGTCTTGATGCTGCTGTTCTCATGAGCAAGATTGGTGATGGCATCAGCCGCTCTTCTGATAACACTATTAACAGCTCGAGAACAAGAGCCATCTTTGTTTCTCTTCAACAGATTCACGAGATGAGGTAAGGCACCTTTATCCACTATCAATTTCTGATACTCTGGCTGTTACCAGGCAATTCCACAACGATATCACACAGATTAGATTTGGAGCTACATAACATAAAAGGCGAGTGCTTTCTAACAAGCTAACACACTATACAAGTAGCTGACCGAGAGAAAATGAGGATCAAAACCTTAATTGCAAGAAGACCAAGCGCAAAAGCGCTTCCTTTCTCGACCTCATGTTCGAATGGCTTTTGAGCCATCTCCTCGTCGCTGTACGGCGGCGCCTGTAGATGCGTCATAAGAGCTGGAACGGCTCCTCCGTCAACAATCACGTTCACTAAATCCTCTGCTGAACAATCACAGGTCACTAGTCATGCGTAAAATATGAAGAAGCCGAAGAAAAAGCAAGATCGGAGGCTGATCTTAACCGTTTTTGGCGAGCTCGGCTAGGACTTGAGTGGCGCGCTTTGCGGCAGCACGATCGGATTCTTTCCAGGAGAAGGCGGAGTTTAGAACGGAGACTTGAGCAGCAACCTCGCTGAGAAGAGCGTGGCCGCCGTCGGTGGTTGTGGCAGAGATCTCTCGATCCTCTGAAGCGGCTGCTCCTTCCTCTAGCTTTCTCTTCTGTCCCTTGCGCTCCGGGAAGCTCCGTCCTTCTCGCCTCTCCGGTTGTTGCTCCATCGTTCACAAGTTCCGCAGACAAAGACGATGCCAAGAAGAGGAGATCAGAGAGGAAGAAGAAGAAGAAGCGTTTTGAAATCAATCCAGTCGGAAAGGAGATCAGGGGTACTTTGGGTATTTTCGTTCGACGAAAAAACGCCTTTATTTTTATTTTTTTTCGTACATATATTAGTTTTAAAATTGTTTTAAACTGGACTGTGTGGGAAAATAAAAATTCAAAATCGAATGTTGGACAGAAAATACATCCTGTGGTTAAATATGTCCTAACGAAGTAGAATATAACTCGTACGCATTTTTAAAAAATTCATCTACATGTTTTTTGTTGTTCATTTCGAAATGTTTTTCTAGCCATATGATGCTAACTTGCGGGTGTATGGGAAAAAAAATTAGAGAGGATAAATAGAAAAGATTATCGAACGATGAAAAGGATCAAGGTTGTACAGTTTTCTTGCAAAAACTCTAAATATAAGGTAATCTCATTATTATTTTGATATATATTTATTATAAAAAAAAAACAAATAGTAGGCTTTTGGACTTTGTGTGGTCTGCCACAAAGGAGACGTGTTTGAAAGTGTGAATAAAATAACAGAATTATATAGATGAGAGAAGAAAGAAGCCTATCTTTAAATTTTAGAAAAAAAAAAGGAACCATTTCTTTATAAATGGCGACCACATGAAATGAAAACTTCGGAGGCACGAGCACGCTTTTTTTAACTTTGAGGAAACAAAGGGAACCCCAAAAAAAAGCGATTTTTAGGGTTTATTATAGTATTCATAGCTCATGATGAAATATGGAAACTCAATAGCATATAACTTTTCTGTTTTTTTTTTTCAGTAGCATGTAAATTCGTTTGTCAGAATGTGAGTTATTCACCACGAGACTAAAATAAATAATTATATGTGTGAGGTCTAAGTCGGCAAAATTTTGGTCAATGTAATTGATGTGTGATTCTAGCTGGTGTCCATATACATGTTACTTGCAATTTTTCGAGAGTTGACGTGGTGCCGTAAGTTGAGAGATTGTGTACCTTGAAGTTTATTACAAACAGAAGCCTAGAGATGAGTATTTTTTTTTTTCATTGATTTGTGTGGTTGGGTGAGATTTTTAGGTAGAACTCGTTAGACTATGAATCGGTTGAGAACAATCTTACAGAATTAGGATTGTGTAACACCAATAAGTGTACTTATTGTAAAGATTAGCTTAAACGCAAGACCAGTTAAGTCATAAGAGTAATCATTATATAGGTTAACTTAAGACGATTTTTAAAGAATAAAACATCCAGCTTAATGCTTTCCAAATCATAAAAATCTTGTGTTTGTCGAGTTCTTCACACTTCCATGCTGTGCAGTGTGCACTTGTGGTCCAGGGATTCAGCTCATCCACGACTTACGGCTACGTCCAATATTAGACATGTAAACCTTTAAGACCTGAAAAAAAGATAACTCTATAAATGCGTTCTTCAATCCTTATATCTAGGAATTGAAATATAAAAACAAACTACATATCTAACTCACATAAGCATTTTCCAATGGCTGAACTACTTGATGGTTTTAAAATTTATTAAATTTTGTTTGCATGCTAATTTCATAAGTGATTATTAGATGTTTTTGTTCGAAACCTCCCAAAGACAGTGCCTTGTATTAATATCATGTTTCTACCCCATGTTTATCTTTATTTATATAATTTTGTCTTTTTCTTTTTTTTCCTACATATTAATTACTTTCTTGACAGAAGGATGATGGCTAATAATCAACCCTTTTTTTTTTTTTTAATGCAATACATCAACCTTGCACTAAGCTAAGATTCTTTATTCCTTGAGGAGACCATTGACATTGTTTCCTGTGTTAGAGATTCTTTCAAGACATAAATCTAGCGGGCCAAGTTCAAGCAAGATTCTTCAGAAACCAGGACTTGATCTTAGGTAAGTAAGTCACAAAACCGTCCGAACAGAAATGCTTTTGTACATACTTGTTTATATGTTACTGTGTCCACCCATTCTTTGGTCTGTTTCAGTACTGTTTTATAATGATAGAAAACAGCGTGGCTATTATAATAATTGGAGTCATGTATGATCTAACGGAAGTGAATACTATGAATTTGATGTCTGGGGATTAATTTGATTTTGGGTTAAAAATGTTAGGCCAGAGTTGCAGAAGTGGACCCTGTCCTATAAATGTTGAGCAGAGTCACTTGGTGGATTTTTGCTGAGAGAAAAGGATCTAACAAAACATCTGAAACTTGCATGTGCACATCACTGTAATCTGCTTTCTTGCTCTTTCGTTATTTTTTTGGCATTTACTCTTTTGTCTCCCTCACGTTTTTCAGATCTTAAACTAACGAACCATGAAGTCTAAACCAAAGATTTGATCTTTCTGGTGAATCCCAAACCCAAGAAAACTTTTAGGCTTAGATACAGACACAGATACAAAACGAAAAAGTCTTTCAAATCCACAAACATAAAGAGATGAAAAGCATAAAAATGGGTGTATTCAATGATGAATTTCTTATTGTTTTCGGGTATGAAAATGTCTTCACATTTATACACTGTCACACCTCAGATTTCAATCACAAAGTTCAACAAAACACAATCCATCTAATCACAAAACCCAACCAAAGAAGGGTAGATAATATAAATCCAAATAGAGAAAACGATGTCTATCATCAAGTTCGTCTCTCTACTCTGTTTTTCTGAAGCCTTAGAGGAAACAGAGGAGGCAACGGAGCAGAGGACTTAGACGGAGTACAAACAGGAACATGAATCATGGGTCTTATCCTCATAGTCACAGATCTCGTCCTCTCTAATCCTTTATTACCTCTCTTCCCTTCCTTCTCTCTCTCCTCCTTCTTCACCGCATCCCCAATGGAGCTCGACGAAGAAGAAGTCGAGCTCGAAGAAGAAGACGGCGAGAGAGACGATGCCCTCGTTGACGAATTCGTAGTCGTGTTGGTCCTCTGTTTCTTCAGCCGCAAAAGCTCTTTCCACAGCACCGTGCATTTTGGTGGACGTGGAGAAGGATCGTCGTCAAGAAACCAGCTTCCTCTGTTGTTGTTATTCTCCTGCTCCTTGTTGTTGTTAATAACCTGCTCTTTCACTTCTTTACGATCTTCTTTATCTTCGTCGACTTTTGTTTTCAGTGTAACGTTTTGAAGCATCTCTGAATGCTTTACCTGCCAGAAAGGAAGCAACTTTCCTTCGGAGAACAGCTCGTCGGGGGTAAGCATCGTTTGGGTATTCGACAGAAACTCAAAGTCTCCGGCTTTCACGGAGCTCTTGTCTTTTTCTTCTTTTCCCGACACGAGTTTGTCCGGGTTGATGCAGATGAAATCTCCATCGCTGTCTGATGATGATAAATCCGCGGAGAAGGAAATGCGAGGTCCTGACAACGACGGTGGCGCCTCCGTCATGAAAATCATCTTCGCCTCCGCCATTGTCGCCGTTTCCGCTGATACCATATGATCGTACAATCTATGAAGTCACACACAAAGCAAGTGGACTTTTGGAGAGAGAGAGAGAGAGTGAGAGAGAGAGGGAAGTGAAGATTCAGAAAGTAATGATGATGAGGATAATATATAAAAACAAAATGAGAGAGAGAGAGAGAAGATATGATATGAGGTAAGACCACATGGACACGTTGAGATGGAAACAGAAGAAGCAGACAAATTACAGAGCTGTAAGAAGATGAAGAACCTACGGAAGATGAAGATTAGAGGATATGAACATGCTAACTGTTTATTAAAATATTACTCACATCGATCGGGAGATGCATTTAATCTAGCTAGTTATATAATTTAAAAAAATAGATTCATAGATGTGGATTTGAAATTAGTAGGAATCGAGGGGGTTTGACTGAAGGAAAGTGGAGAGATAATTGAACAGTGAACACATGTCCTCACATGAGCTTCGTGTCGTTGCCATGTGAAAACAAGTACAACTCAAAATGATCTATATTTTTTTTCTTTCTTTCTTCACACACACAGTTTAATTTGAATTTACCATTGCGCTTATAATCTTTATACTGTAAAAAAGAATGCTTGTGTATTATTAATTTCTTTTGTATTTATTTACTGTTCTCTTATTTTCGATATGTAAATTTCTTTTACATATATATATATATTACAAAAATATATAAATATCCGTTGTATATTTTACTAATTAGTAATATTTTCAAATAACAATTTTATTCCACTAAAAGACTCTGCATACATACATTTTATATTTCAACAGAGATAAAAACCTATAAATGGTTAATTAAATGACATATATAAATACCTCACTTTGACTAAGAAATATATACAGTTGTCCGATTGTTGAAAAATATAATCGGGTTGAAAGAAGAGAATTTGGAGAATATACAAAGAATATTATTGTTCCTGCGCGAAAATCTCTCGCCGGAATTGGTCATCGTCATTTAATTTTGGTATAAGCCAATTGTCGGATAAGACGAGATAGCACCATTTCTTTCCATCTGCTTATCTTTGGTTGAATCGGATCCAGATTCCAGATGACAAGGTTAACCTTTCTTATATTAATACAAATATAGTGTGGTTTCTCGATTTTTAAATACTGTTACAATGGCGAGTATTGGTTACTCTAATTACTCAGCGTTAAGAAAAATGATAACGCGGGTTTCTCGGTGTTGGACCACTCGTTTTAGCTATGGTGCAGATCGTTTTAGTTATTGTCATTGCCAAAATTATTATTACTAGTGTTGTTTAGCTCCATTGATTAATTACACCCCATCTTTATAAGGTATAAGTATAACGTACATGCTTCTTTTGTTTTTTCTACCACAGTGCAAAGTTTTGAATTTTGTCGTTGAGAGGAGCGAGGGAGAGGACAGCGATGTTGCCTAAGATCTTACTACGAAACACGTGTCACTGTTTATTATTAACTGTCCATTTCCATGCAAAGCAAAAATACAAGATTCCAACCTACCCTACATATATTTTTTGTTAAAAGTTCTTCTATTTTCTACCCTATATGTTTCAATAGTTGTTTTGGCTAATTATTACCCGATAACCACACTAGCTGTATTGTTAACTCATCATTACATCAACTTTTGATTCACGCAAAAATGTTAGCAATCGTTTGAGAAGACTCTCTAACCGAGTCTCTCTTTCAGTTTACAAACCACCTTTTTTCTATATAAACCATATTTGTTTGAAAAAATATTTTGAAAATACTTTGAGAAGTTTTTACGTCAACTGGAAACCAAACTCAGCCTAAATCGAATAGAAATTGAGCCGAATCGAACTAAATTGAACTGAGTAAAAACCAAACCTATCTAATTTCAAATTGATGATTTCAGTTTGATGATTTTATTAAAAGTGACTTATATAATCTGAAAAAAACGGAAAAAAAAAACCCAAAATCTCGACCCTATATATAAGAAACAAGAATCAAGGTGTTGAAGAAAATAGAATAGTTGTAACGAAAGGTCCCCGAAGAATAATTATGGATATCACTTTGCTTTTATTTATATAAACATGAAGATATGGTCAAGGAAAAATATGAAGATCACCCCCATAATTTAATGAAGACATTACTGGCTATATGATTAATAATTGGAAGGAAATATTTTTGTTGTAGTGTATAAGAGAAACAAAGTGTAGATGAGCTTTGACTTTGACCACATTAGAATCTTAATCACGTACTAAACGCTTCTCAATGCAAAGAAGCACATGCATCCATCCACTTAGAGCCAAACATATGCATATGTGGTTGATGTTGTACCAGCTCCTATTCTACTTCACCTATGTATATGATTTATTGTACTATCATCGTAATATATATTTTCGAAAACCCCTAACAAACTCCAGAAATATATTGAACTGTCATATCTGAGTTTATATATGATTTACCTACAAGATGTTGCTGTCAATTGGTTTGAATATAGTGCATGTCTCATACGGCGTTTAATTTTTCATTGTAACACGGATTACAAAAATGCACTTAATCCAATTTTGTACATGGAATGGAGCAAAACCGTTTAATAAAAATAGGTTGCGAATGATCCAAAATCCAAATTAGTCTCAAATGTAAAACAGCCGAAACGAATTTTGTATTAGTTGTATTGAATATATGTATTTTTCTATTATTTTCTTTTAAAAGGCACTTATAATGCTGTATCAATTTAGTTTGAGAGTTTAACTTTGCTTTCTTTATTTGTTAGTTATCAGTATATCACTTTTTGTATGTTGTTTTCACCGGTTTTAATTACTATTTTTAATCATTATGCCATTACGCACCATCTGTTATGTTGTCGCCATTTGAAGTGGTAGTGTTAACATCTAAAGATGGATAAGTCGTACATGTTTTGGTTTTTTGAGAAAGAAAGGATAAGTCGCGCCTGCTTGGGTCGTTTTATATATGTAATCAATCAATTTGAGCAAAGTGTTATTTTAAAGAAGAAATCATATGAAAAGTACATAATGTAATGTGCACCCAATAAGTTACAATACTTTCAGTGACTTTTAGACGTTTCGTAGGTTACATCATCTTAGAACAAGGACCAGAATATTCAATTTGATCCAAGTACTGTAGTCAGAGATAACATTAATTTTGTTTATGCTGCTCGTAACATGATCTTAGTCCTCCCAATATATTTCGGGTGAGATTTAGTTGGAGATAGATTTTCACAATTATTAGATATTAAAATGGAGGAGCTAGGCAATTTATAATTGACTCGATAGATAAGTTATTAGGGAACCACCAGGACCAAGTCGTATAGCCACGCTCAAGGAACACTAGCAGCTTGGTGATCAGATGGCTAGAAATGAGCGATTTTCCCCAACCAAATTTTTGATCGATCTCTGTTCAGGATCCAAGTTAGATAATACGTCGTTGATCACAAAATCTTATGTATTTTTTTTAATAAATGTTCTCAACCAAGTTTAGTGATTTTGTTTACTTACTTAGCGTTAGGAAGTCTAACAAGACATCATGTTTGTGTTGTTTTCATATATGTCTTTTTCTTATTAATTGCGGGAAATTTGTCATCAAACGAAATTATTTCCCACAATAAGTAGTTAGCTATTTTAGCAGATAATTCATACCTTTGTGTAAGTAAATACACTAAAAAGACATTATTATTTATTCGTCCTAATGTTTAAATTAATCCGAAAATATTCACACATTCCTTAGATCGGCCGGGATATTTTGCCGACGCCTCCCTCCGCTATTAGCGCGTCGTGTGTTTGTTTATTAGGTTACGTTTTTGAGGAAGAAACAAAAGACGATGGCGATGATGCAGCCGCAGACGCAACCGCAAGGCTATCACCATCCACAGACGCTGGAAGAAGTGCGAACCCTTTGGATTGGAGATTTGCAGTACTGGGTCGACGAGAATTACCTCTCTTCCTGCTTCTCCCAAACCGGCGAGGTCACTATTCAGTTTTTTTTTTTTTTTCCGTTTCTATTCACTTCTTCCTCAGCTTCTCTGCGTGTTGTGACTCTGTGTACTTCCAATTTACTGCTCTCGATTTCTCTGGGTTGTAACCGTTTGGTATCTAACTATCTAGGGTTCTTTGCCGTTTTAGGAAAAGATAAAGAAGAGAATTTGACTTTGGGGATGTTAAGTGTTTTAGCTATTTCGTGCGCTTCATTGAAAACTCTGATTCTTAGTATGAATTCGTCTTTCTCGAAAGGCTCTTCCCATGTTCGATGTTCACTGTTTATAGGTAGCTCTCAGTTCAGTAGGTAGGTAATAGTAGGTGATACATGTACTTTCATTTGTTAATTTCTTACCTCCTTTTGGACTCCACAATAGGCTTTCCTGCAAGTAAGAATTGTTGTTATAAAGTCTAGGGGAGATCCTTTTTTTGGTCTCTAATTTATATCTTTAGTGTTTAAGCTCTTAAGTTCAGATGTTATATGATCCTTGTTATAGTTTAGTTAGTGTGTAAGCATATTTTAGTTAACATTACAATGATATATGTATGTGCAGCTCGTTTCTGTCAAGGTAATACGTAACAAGATCACAGGCCAGCCAGAAGGGTATGGTTTTATAGAGTTTGTATCTCACGCAGCCGCTGAGAGAACGCTTCAGACTTACAATGGGACGCAGATGCCTGGAACGGAGATACCTTTCCGCTTAAATTGGGCTTCTTTTGGCTCAGGCCAGAAAGTAGATGCTGGACCCGATCATTCTATCTTTGTTGGAGACTTAGCACCAGATGTCACAGATTATCTCCTTCAAGAGACATTCCGTGTTCACTATTCTTCTGTTAGAGGTGCCAAGGTTGTTACTGATCCAAGTACTGGACGATCAAAAGGTTATGGTTTTGTAAAGTTTGCTGAGGAAAGTGAAAGGAACCGGGCCATGGCTGAAATGAATGGTTTGTATTGCTCAACAAGGCCTATGCGTATCAGCGCAGCAACGCCTAAAAAAAACGTCGGTGTGCAGCAACAATATGTCACCAAAGGTATGAGAACAAAACTCAGGATTTGAATTATCTTAATCGAATCTTGTTTAGTTCAGCTGTTTGGTATCATTTGCCTAATTGGGACGTCTTCTCTAGCTGTTTACCCAGTTCCAGTTCCAGTCCCATCTGCAGTTGCTGCACCAGTCGCAGCGTACGTTGCTCAACCAGCACAGGTGCTCGCACCTGAAAATGACATCACCTGTACAACGGTAAGTTTTGTCTGAGCTTGAGCTTTCATCTCGAAATTCTCTTTGCTTGTCGTCTTCATGCGTTGGTTTTGGTGTACAGATTTCAATTTCCAATTTGGACCCAAATGTTACAGAGGAAGAGCTGAAGAAAGCATTCTCGCAATTTGGAGAGATTATTTATGTCAAAATACCTGCAACAAAGGGATACGGTTTTGTTCAATTCAAAACCAGGTAAACCATCCAGTAAAACTCAGAATTCACTTCACTTGTGATTGCTCCCATGTATTGGTTTGTCATTTATGTTTATTTCTAGATCTGCTCACCAATTTTGACTTCTGCCCAATGCTCACCGCAGGCCTTCTGCAGAAGAAGCCATTCAGAAAATGCAGGGGCAAGTGATTGGTCAACAAGCAGTTCGAATCTCTTGGAGTAAAAATCCAGGACAGGTGAAATTTTTTTGTCGTAGCCTAGACTGATGTGATGTAGAGCCTTACTTTACTCGCTTGTTCACTGAATGTCGTTGATGATTTTTGGTATTTGTTCTAGGATGGTTACGTAACACAAGCAGATCCGAGTCAGTGGGGTGGGTACTATGGTTATGGACAAGGCTATGATGCATATGCTTATGGGACAACTCAAGACCCATCCTTGTACGCATATGGTGGATATGGCTATCCCCAGTATCCGCAACAGGTATAGAAATAAACTTAAAAAGCTTTTGCAATATGTGGATACTTTTTTTTTTTCATTGTCGGCAATTTTTCAGGGAGAAGCTACACAAGATATTACAAACTCTGGAGTTGCAGGGGCAGAGCAAGAGTTATATGATCCGATGGCCACTCCTGATGTAGACAAGTATACTTTCTTTCACATTCCTACGTTGGTTGGTGATTAGTTGAATGTCCCAATTGATTGTTCCTTTTGCACTTGTAGGTTAAATGCCAGTTACCTTTCGGTTCATGCAAATGGCTTATTAGGACGGTCACTGTGGCAGCGTACCACAGTGCTCACATCACAAGTGGGCAAATGATCGTGAAGAGAAGAATAGAATGGTTTATGCGTTGAGATGTTTAGTGTGTCCATTTCACTTTCTCGCATTACAAGTCACTGCTCTTTGTTTGATTGTTCTGTTAGGACATAGTGACAATGCTAAATCATGAATTTTTCCAGCTTTCTGGAAATTATGACTATTCTTTCTCTGTTTGCTTCATAGAAAAATAAGTCTGAAAAAAGAAGACTTCATGATGCCTTTTATGATCTGCTCAGCCGTTATTAACAAACATCACTGTAATGCACAATTTTAAACTGAAAAAGAATTTGATACATTGAGAAACCTCTTTGACACTTTAATTCAGTAGTAGACAAGCATAAAATACTTACGAACATGAAACATACTTTCCCTAATCCCATACTTATCTCTCTTGGTGATCTTCTTCTCAATCATGAGCAACCCAAGCCTACTTTAGAATAACTTTTCCTTCTCCTTGATTCTCTTATGTGCTTCTGACTTGTCTCTCCCAGATGGGTCATTTGAATGACAGTTCACGCCTCTTCTTAGGGTTAGGATCTGGGTTTCCTTTTCTCATCATTGCCACAAATTCCTCGTAGTTTATCCGCCCATCCTACATCAATGAAATAGTTGTTTTTTTTTAGGATGTTTGTATGTGCTAATTAAGGAAGGAAATGTGAAAGTGAAAGGCACTTACATTGTCTCCATCAACCTCAGAAATGATTTCCTTAATGTCTCTGCCATCATTCATGCCAAACTCCCTCAGGGCTTGCTCCAGCTCTTCCATTGTGATATATCTGCAAACCGAGACATAGCATCATTTGTTTTTGGTTTCAACTAAATTTTAGTATATCATAAAAAAAAACTGTTATATATGTGCTAATTTACATACCCACTGTTGTCTTTGTCAAAGTGTTGGAATGCTGAGTAGAGATGCTCTTCTCTGTCGAGTCTGTTGATGTGCATTGTTGCTGCTATAAACTCCCCATAGTCTATTGTACCATTACCATCCGCATCAGCCTAATAGAAAACAGAAAAAACAAAGCACTTATTTTGCCATCTTTAATAAATAGATGGCAATTATAGCATAGCACACAAACACAAAACAAAGACTTACTGCTTCCATTAATTGCTGGACTTCGTATTCAGATAACCTTGTACCTTGCTTGGCAAGTCCTTGTCTTAGTTCCTCAAGAGTTATTGTTCCGCTGTTATCAGTGTCCATTCCTTTGAACATCTCCTTTAACCCCATGATTTCTTCCTCTGATAAGCACCCGGCTATCACCTGTTTGTTCGTTTTGACGAGGCCAGTGAGTCATATTTGTCACATGTATTATGCTTTTGAGAAAGATATTAAATTTTACCCGTAAAGCAACTTTCTTGAAGTTGTTCATTGCTTTGAATTGCTTGAGCCTTGACATCACTGCATTGTCAAGAGGAACATCTGGTGCTTCTCCATCCTCCTTGATCCATGGATGGTCTTTACAAAAAGACAAATATGTTAAAAAAAAATAATTTCAATGATAATATAGGAGCTTCTTAATTAATTACTCTTTGAAATAGGAGTTTGCTTACTGAGAACTTGAGCAGCGGTTAATCTTTGTTTTGGATCAGAGTTAAGCATCTTCCTGACGAGATCCTTTGCCTGGTGTGAAATGGCTGGCCATGGATCACTTGAAAAATCAACCTGTCCACTTAGGATGGCATTGAAAATCCCATTCTCCGACTCTGAAAAATCAACATGAATGATATATAGACCCTTTTATCTATGTCTTTGTTTTGAAAGATAGAAAGATAGGAGAAAAGAATCAGAAATCTTTTAATTACCAGCCCAAAAAGGTGGAACACCACACAAGAGGATATACAACATGACACCAACGCTCCAAATATCAGCCTCTGGTCCATACTTCCTCCTCAAAACCTCTGGTGCAATGTAATAAGCACTTCCCACAATATCTTTGAACACCTCTCCTGGCTTGTAGAACACGGATAACCCAAAATCTGTTGCCTTGAGAGGAGAGTTCTCATCCTTGTTAAGCAACAGAAAGTTCTCAGGCTTCAAGTCCCTGTGAATAACCCCCATGGAATGGCAAGTATGCACTATCTGAACAATCGTCCTTAGCAACGAAGCAGCGGCTCTCTCCGAGTAATGACCTTTTGCAATGATCCTATCGAACAACTCTCCTCCCGCACAAAGCTCCATAACCAGATGCACTGAATGCTTGTCCTCGTATGCTCCTTTAAGCTCCACAATGTTTGGTTGACCCGTCAAGTGATGCATTATCTGCACCTCTCTTCTCACATCTTCAATGTCTTCTTTGTTCACCAGCTTCCTTTTTGCAATGGTCTTGCAAGCGAATTGTAGCCCCGTGGCCTTTTGCGTGCAGAGATGAGTCACGCCAAACTGTCCACGACCAAGCTCCTTGCCCAATGAATATGAGCTCTTTACATCTTCCATTGGTCGGCCTAAGACAGGTCCTATTGGCCCTTGTTTTGTTGCAGGAGGAGGAGATGCTGGTGGGTGTCTCGAAGCTCTCACAGAGGCTTCCACGCCACCACCAGCACCGCCGCCACCTCCGGCCGCATTAGCCGGCGTGGGGTCGTCTTTTTTATTCCTTGAATCTCGTCCATGAGAGCAACAATTTCCCATTGTTGCATAAAGGGGAGAGGAAGTAAGCTCTCAAAACCAAGAAGAGAAATATAATTAAAGGTCCTTTTTTTTTGTTTTTCTTCTTCCTTCCTCTGTCTATTCGTTTAGGTTTTTGGTTTCTTCTTGAACAAGAAATTGGCTATGAATAGTATTTTTCTGTTTTTGCAAGCCTTTTTCATTTTAGCTGGCCTTCAGTTTTCAAAACGATAATGGGGTTTGCTGATAGGGAGGGACTTTAGGAACCAGAAGCCTGTCTGTATATTGTTATTTAAAGCAAATATTAAGTATTTATTTTAGGATTTTGTATAAAAGGCTGAGAGCATTTCTTGGAGAATTTCGGAGGTTGCTTGTAGTATATTGATATATTCTAATGTCTAAAATGAACCTTATATTATTATTGTTAAATTATTCCCCGAATACGATTTGCAATTATTTGGATTAGGATATAAGAATAGAAGAAAAAAGGGAGCAAATTCTAGGATAATCTGATGGGGGCAGTTTCAGTAAGTAGGAATTGATGGGTCAACCTTGCGAGAATAGGCTTGTATTCCACCAGCTACATTGTACACACTCTTGAAGCCCTGAGGAACAAGACAATAATCCATTAAACACATCAGGATGTCAATAAAAAGAAAAACAAACTAATACGAGGAGCAAAAAAGCTTTGTACCTGCGACTGCAGCCAGTTCGCAACCTGCAACGACCTGCCACCAACCTTACACTGTATGGGAAACAAAGGCCGCGACTCAGAGAACTCACAAAAATTCATTTCGACATCAGATGTTTCTTGATGGGTATTTAAGAATTGAGCCACTGAACTTCTTCAAAGCTAATCATATGTATTAGCAGATGAGACTGAACATACCAAGACGAATGTATCCTTCTCAGGGTTCAGCTTTGAAGTGATGTCTGGTGCCCAGGTTCCGAATTGGCGGAGCGGGAACACTTGGAATCCTGGCAAGGATGCCTTGGCTCTGGTAAAAGTAATGAAACAAAATAGAAAAGACAATGTGAAACAACTATGGATACTTTGTCCTTCTTCTAAAATCAATGTGTGCGAGGTACACATGTATCTATATGGCAGAACCATCAACCTCCGCAAGATGCACATGAATCATGGTGTTGCGAAAATGTTTAGAGAGTATGAAGCTAATCCACTAGGAGAAGGAAAATGTATGTCAGGATGAGAGATGAAAGGAGCTTACATCTCGTCAGGTTCTCTGACATCAATTAACTGAGCCTCTTCCATGAAAACTGGATCTAGCATTTTGGAATGCAGCTCCTCAACCTGAATATCTTTCACAGGTTCCCTGTCAATATAAAATTTTCCGCTAAGACAATTTACAATAGTCGATACAAAACGTCGCTAACGGAGGATGGTTTTCAGAAGAACTACCTCTCAGATAAAACTTGCAGTAAGTGCCAGCCAAATTGGGTTTTACACCTCACCACATGATTCAGCTCTGCTCCAAATGCTGCTTCCTCAAACTCTGGCACCTGAAAACAATTATAAGTGCTCTATTATTCTCTAATTGCAGCAGGAATTTGCCAAAGTTATTCATGGGAAAGTCCAACCATCGTGGAATTACTTCTATGATCGGTTACTTTCTACTACTTCCATTTGAACATGAATGTCAATGCTAAAAGGTAATTAACCAGCCAGGAATTGTTAAACCACCCTATTGCTTGTGTAATAACGAGGGTAGGACAGCAAGGTTCATATAGATTTGAAAGTGTCAATGCAAAACCAATACCAATCTCATAACCAAAAGAAATGGCTAAAATTATAGAAAAGAGAGCGTACCATTTGACCCAATTTGACCCATCCAAGTATACCACCCTCCTTTTTGGATGGACAAATCGAGTACTCAGCTGCAAGATCACTCATATCCTCACCTTCACAACAAAGAGTTACTTGAAATTCAGGACACACCCTTAATCTTCTGACACAAACAAAATAAGGTGACAGTCACACAACTAATGAGAAATTCATCTATGTATCAGTACAATATTTTTCCACAATTATTTTTATCCCAGTTAACAAACTGACCAAGCCCCAATATCTTACAGGATTATGTAACTAATGTTGAAATAAAAGCTTAGTCTCATCAGAACGTAAATATCAAAAGGGTGAAAAGGGATTTAACGAATCAGACCATCCAAGATTTTCTTTTGGAGTTCAGCAAAGAGTTCAGAATCACCCTCCTTAACAAGCAAATGCTGCACCAGAATCTCCCTACTTGCACTACTCGCACTACTCTCGCTGCTAAATGAAGCTGGAAAAACAAAAGACACACAAACAGAGATAATTAGAAATCAACGAACGAAATTATCAAGAATACAGGTATATGAGTATATCAGTTCAAAAAAGAGAGGGTAATCCCACTTATTCCCACATGAATTTTGTTGAAAATCAGATAAGAGGTAAAGATTTTGTTCCGATTAGAAATTCGAGAAGAAGAAGCTCGCAATTAAATATTTTATACAGCAAGTAAAGGGTAAACAGTTGATATTTACCTCTCGCTTTGAGAGCCGAGAAACCAGAGAGCATAATCGGGCACGGAGAAGGAATGCGTGGTCGGAATGAAGAGATGCGTCCGCCGAGAAATGAACGAGAAAACGTCGAGAACCAGCGGAGATGGGGAGGAGAGGCCAAAGCGAGAGCCGGAGCAACGGAGAGTCTCAAAGCGGCGGAGAAAGACGCCGCCGCCGCTGGAGATGAAGCCGACGAAAGATTTCCGGTCAGTCTAAACATTTTGGGTCTCGTTGAGTTCAAGTGTGGGAAAGTCGGAGAGGTTACCCACTTAAGAGTGTAAATGTGGGCCCATAATTCTGATCCACAATTTCTGATTACAGCTTTTGCTAATGCGATTCCGCGGGTTTTTTTTGACCAATTAGAAAAAAATTGTGGAATAATGGTAAATTAGTTTGATAAAATACAAATTTACATTTTGGCCTAAGGAAGCTGGTGAAACTTTGATCACGAATATTATATGCTCATGATCCAAAACATCTTGGGCAAACATCTTTCAGAAAGATGCAATCGTAGCTCCGCAATGTCAAAACATCTATGGTAAAATGTAAACGCATTATGCTCTTATATGCTCAAAATCCAAATGCTTTATAACACTCAACCTAGTGTTACTATGAAAGAAAACGATCCGCAAACACTTTATATATGCATAGAATTGCTAAAACCAATGTACAATCAATGAGCTAAGGGATTCCTCAATGACACAAAAATGGCAAATGCTACAATGAGAAGAGAGAAAGGACAAACAAACAAACAAACAAGATTACAAAAACGAATCTCGTGCCGGTTAGGTGGATGGGGGAGAAGGGATAACCGAATCGGAAGAGTGAGAAGGAGTCCAAGCATATAGAAGCATGCCGAGTACAAGGATCACTGTGCCTGCCACGAACCCCGTCGGAAGTGAAGATGCCACCCCGAGGTACGGCAAGGGAAGCGTGAACAAGTAGACGGCTATGGGCACTGCACAGCCAAAGCCAAACAAGGTTCCTTATGCTAGTTAGTTTCTTCATACAACATGATTTTATACATTTGTATGGTTTATCAAATCTTATGATCGCTTGCTTCTGCATATTATCAACACTAGAGCTATGTGATTACGGAATGATTATGTAATTACCAATCATATGATTTGTCAATATGTATGGAAAAAAAACTCCGAGAAGCCATCTAATGGGTTTAAATCTCAGAGTGATCATGGGATATCATCAGCAATTACTAATTAGCTAAAGAAGTAGATTATTATGAAACTATGGCAAGGCTATAACAAGGCGAAGTTTGTACCAGAAACGGTGGATGCCAGAGACGACAAAACAGCAGATGAGATTTTAATTAGGCGTAGAAGGGAGATGTTGTAAGCCATGTTCATCATGACAAACATTATAGGAAGAAGGGGAGCCCCTTCGCATCCTGTGTCAAAACCAAACCGAGCGTGTTGAATACTTTACACAGAGGACACAAACCAAGGAGATACTGGAGCACAAAGCGTAGCATCAACTGACCTATTGTTCTAGTACCAATGTTCAAAAAGCAAGCACCCCCGTCTCTGAGATAGCTCGGTAGTTGGTTAAACGGTATGCCCCAGAGTTTTGAAAGAAAAGGAAGAAGCAATGCTATGCATATGACCTGGGTTGACCACAGAAACAGGCACATTAGCTAGCAAATAGATAGCATATGATCTGATACCAAAAACAAGGAGCTACACAAAGAATACCTACTTGGAAAGCTGAACCATATGAGTTTACAACAAACAGATCAAGTGAAGCACCCTGTAATAATAAGAACAGATTTCTTTCAGAATTCAAAATCGCAAATGTTGCTAAAGTTTCTCGGTGGCATGATTACCTTCAACCGCTTTTTGCTATCTAGAAAGATGACTTCCTACAAGAATATGAAATTTACTGTTAAAGAGAAGAGCCCAAAATCTTGTAGTTGGCGATATAACTAGCAATGATTGACAAACCTTCATTACTGTGTCTGCACCTTGAAGCATAAAAGATAATACCATAAGAAGACTCCAAAATATTCCTGCATCTTTAAATGAATGAGTGGCACCCGATCCACTGAACATGGAAGAGAAAATAGTATGTAAACGCAATATGGATGAAATATGTTGTACTGGTTACATTGAGTCCTTTGACAAGTATAACAAAAATGAAAGGAGACAAAGAAACCAAGTCACTTTAATATTAAGCAAGTTAAACGAGCTGGCTAACCTTGCCACACTGACGATTACACCAAATGCTACAAGAATACACCCGAATATTTGATTTATTCTATATCTCCTCCCGAGAAAAATAATGGAGAAGAGAATTTGCCAAATAAGAAATGTCTGCAAAGAAATAAATGACTATAGTTAATTCTGAAACATTTCTCAGACAACAACCATGCTTTTTACCAGCTAGCTAGCAATTCACAGAATTTGAGGGACGGGTTTGCAGCTTTTGACACACTAGAACGAAAATCAGGAAATTGATGTTGTAATTTGATCTTATGGAAGATAGAATGTATAGTAATGTTTTAAGCTTGTAAGTTGTAACCTGAGACAAAACTGTAGTAGATGGTCCAGAAAGATTTGCTGAGTCAAGAAAAACAACGGTAAGTAAGATAAACCGGAGTTTGAGGGTTCATTTTCATGCATCTATAGTGTTAACATGTGATTTCATCGAACAAATGAAAGTATACATCTACTGAAACTGCAGTAGAAAACGGAAAGGGAAAGTTAGGGTAGCACAAATGAAAAGATACCTGCGGCTGCCATCCCAGAAGCTAGGGCAAGAGACTCCAAAATGCCAACAATCAAAAAAGGAATTTTTGGAACTGACAGCATCTCCTTAGTAACAATTCCAGCTCGGTATCTAAAATACAAAATAGAATAGTATACAGCTACATACCTGCAAGAAGTATAGCATGAGAATTTTTGTTTTTTTTGTACTATAGTGGGTGGTACAAAACAAGATACACTACATCCAGGAAATGAGTATGTGAATAGTATTATGGGTTTGTTCACATTGAATAAGTAAAACAACGAGAAGAGCTTATCTCTAAAAGGGTAACCAAGCTGTGAAATAGCACATTACACAGCTCAAAATCACATTATTACTATGGACTATGATTTGGATCCATCCAGCACAAACAACCATATATATGTTCTTTAAAATTTACACACTACACCAAATTTGACTCACATAAGCACATTTCAGAGTGTACATCTCACTCACATACTGCTAATAAATAAACCGGTGAACCAACAATGTAACAGATTTTATGTTCTCGTTAATAGTAGACATTTTAAACTCTGATAGCAAGGCAACCAACATACAGAACTTGCACACAGTAGCCCATATGCAAAAGAGAGTGAGACACGTGCCAAAAACAAAAACAAAGTGATTGACACGTGGTAAATTAAATTCAGATAGGGGCAAATATTCTGACACGATCCACAGAGGATATAATTAGTATTAATTTCGTTCAATAAGTCATTAACTCACTGTAGATCCAACAAGAACGCCATTAACTCGCTATTAAAACAAATATCGGAAAGTAGGTGACCGAGAGAAACTCGCACGTGAGAAAAAGTTAATATGCGCATAAAAATATGTTTGGTGAACATTAAAGTAGAAGTATCTAAACAGAACGAAGTCGCCAACTATGACCCGGTTTCTTAATGAGAATCTTCTGAAAACTCCATTTTGCATACGAATGAATATTTCGGCTTTGCACTTTCCAAACATACGACATATGATACCAACTTTCCCACATCGAACAATTTTGGAATCGTCTTTCATAATTAAAGATACCATTCCATGATTTATCAATGAATATTTAGTATGCTAGATCACCAATTAGAGAAGCAGAGTGTGTGTGTGTGGAGAATATAAAGCGAAATCGTGATCGTATCAACTCATTTCACAACAAAAATCTGAAATCTAACTTAAACTTTTTCATCGAACGCGAAATTGTTTTAGTTTGACAAAAGCAAACTCACAGACTAATTATAAGCATTTCAGATAGAGAGAAGATGGTTACCCGAAGGTAGAGAGCTGGGCGAGGAAGAAGGGATAGTGCTTGAGAGGAATAAGGGCCAGCTTATACATTACGCGGTTCCCGACGCCCAGCGCCGCCGTGACCGCCGCTGCAATAACTATCTCAATCGTCCTGTCATGTTTTCCGGCGACCACGTGAGCGTCGGTTATGCCACCAATCGCGTCTGACTTCCTCTTGATGTCTTCGGCATCGTCAGATCTGTCCCAGGACTTCGCCGGGGGAACCGCATCGATTAACCAGAGCTTGGACCTTCGAGAGGACCGGAGGATGATAGGCGGTACACCGTTTATTTGATTTCGATAGATTAGGGAGATGGATTGAGCTGGGTTCGCATTACGCGATTCGATTGAGCTCATCGACGCCGTCATACCGGCGATTAACCGGCCGGAGCTCGTTGCCATGGTTGTACAGGTTCGATCGAGATTAACACCAGTAAAATGAGAGAGAGAGGGAATATGAGAGGAGTCGGAGGTGTAATTGTATCGACTGACATCGCACGAAGCCACCTCGTGTGCTCTTTTATTATTTGGGACTATTATTTGCAAAATATTTTTTTTTGTTGGTCAATGTTTTCCATTGTCTATTTTCACAATCTTTTTAAAAAAACCTCAGAAATTTACAAATTAAATTATTTGTTATAGATGTTAATAAATATGACGATGATTAGATGGGTTTATTTGTCCAAAATTTTTTTTATTAAAACACGTTTTGAAAACATGTGATTATTTCTTTTTTTCTTTGCGTAACATCTGATCTTTTCATTACCTAATAATACCTTTGAACAAATACTATTAAATGAAACATTCCTATTCATAAGATCCCTAAAAAACGTGTGCATAATTTAAGTTTAAGATTCAAAATTAAATTAAGACTAGATTATCTAGATGCTTCAACTAAAATAATGATGTGAAGTGGACTTACAAGTTACAATTGAAGCACATGAAACAACGTTCAAATGATGTACTTCATAAATCATATCATTTATAGTTTTAGATGCATTGAAAATACTTTACAATCATATCTTAAATTATGTTGTCATTTAAACTTCAAGAGATAGAACGATGTTTGAGTTTTTTCCTTTGTCAAAATTTTATTCAACATTTTTTTTTTCTCATTATACGGTAGTGTAGAGATTTGTAATAACTCAAGCATGAGCATGTTACTATTGTATGCTTTCTCTTATCTTTCCAATTATTGTGAG